CAACGTGTTTGTGGCAGCCCTTGGGCGAGTTTTATATACAACGGTGGACTTGCGATGAGCTGTAATCATTACGATGATATAACTTTTAGGCTGGATTTAGTGCTCGACCGACGGTCAGCACGTACCGTACGTGATGACGGTACGTCCTGATCGCCGGTCGAGGCCAAGCGTTTGCTTAACTGACGCCAAGCTTTGTTAGACGTGTACAATTACGAAGAAAAATAAATCCATTTAACTCTATAGTATACGGTATACTCGTAAAAGACGGAGAAGATATCATGTGCACCCAATAATTGTAGACCATTTAATTGAAGGACAATTTTGTTCATTGTATTCGAAATTGCGAGAACAATGTTCATGTATCAATGTTCATTTTTGTTTGCGATAATGCGTACGCGCGTACAGTCGGTCGCTCTATCAGCGTCGCAATAAACGCACGCACGTACCGCCATAGCGCGTCAGTCAACCGACGTACGTCGGACTGACGAGCTCGACCGACGGTCCTCGTATGCGCGATGTAGCCGTACGCGCGTAGTACTTCATCAGCGCTGCACTGTAGCCGTTAATAGGTTTTCATTGATATAGCTACGCTCAACCGATGTCAGCGCTCACCGTCGGTCGAGCACTAAATCCAGTCTTAAAGTATAAATTGATTTCTTTATAGAACACAGGGTGACAAAAGAGCACACAGTCTACTTGAGGGTAAGTTGATGTTGTGGCCAATTAATACCTCCATCTACTCTCGATTAAGGAACAAAATGAAGACGTTACCGGTTAATTCAATGCTCGTCACTCACCATGCAAAATACAGCAGCAATATCGCATTATCACCGTGTGGTGGTTACGTAAGAGAAGCCATACCCCTTTTTGTAACAGGCGACTATATTTAAAATGTGGTAGAGTCATGCTGCAGCTATGTTATAGCGAACCGGAGACGTTTTTTACTGTAACGAGGCATTCCATCTCAGTCCTCAGGGATGACAACGCATTTGCATTTCATTTCTCAATCGTGGATAGACGTACATGTCTATGGGCCACAGTATCCACCTACCATCAGGTGGACTGTGTGCTCATTTGTCACCATTATTCTATAAAACAAGGAAACTCTAGAAAAATCTTATTGCTTCCGATAATGGCGGACGGGCAGCAGCGTCAAAGTTGCGAGACGTTTGACGATATCAGTGATCGTCAAACCGCCTGCCAAGCAACCATTAGGCAAATTTGCCCTAAAACAGGTCCATGTCCAGAAGTGGGCTTTTGCATCCTAATGAAGAAATCTGTGGTAGCGTAGTTCTTCCCCGGTCGAAGTGACCTATAAGTAAGTATTGCCTTATTAAAGTTGGTAAAAAATTACTTCGCATACATCCGCTCGATAAAATAAAATGATGTGTCTTACCTAGTTTGAAGTGCACCTCCCGCCCTCCCTCAATTGCGTGCACTATCACCGTCACCATCAATCCCAGCACCACTACTCCAAACACCACTACACTAGGAAAGACACTGACGATAATACGACACGTGTTTCGCCTTTACACGAGGCATCTTCAGGTGATCTAGACTCTGTGGTGGCTGACCGCTAAGTGAGCGGCAGCCACCTAGTGTAGTGGTGTTGGGAGTAGTGGTGCTGGGATTAGTGGTGACGGTGATAGTGCACGCAATTAAGGGAGGGCGGGAGGTTATTTTATCGAGCGGATGTACGCGAAGTCATTTTTTACCAACTTTAATATAATGGACTTCCGCAAAGTAACGCCTGATTCTATTAATTATTGCCTTATTACAATGCAGTGTTCTTGTACCTCGTATAAAAATGTATGTCGCATTATCGACGGCATGAATTTATATATTTGGCGAGATCTTGAAGATTAACTAAATTATCACCGAGCATGTATTTAAAGAAGACAAGAGCGGCGAGGCGAGAGTGGAAGTAGTTTCTACCTACTATATAATATATTAGATATATTGTATTTGTCACTAATATAATAAGATACGATAAGGTCGGCAACCCTAGGTTAGTTGTTTTAAGGAGCAGTTGTGTTCGGTTTAGTGGTGGCAGTGATAGGATTAGGTAATACATATACACCTCATTTTATTGCGTGCAGTTCTTATTAAATTAATTTTTTAACTTCAATTTTTTAGTTGTTAAATAAATTATAAATGCAAATACCATATTAAGGTTGGTATGAGTCAGTCATCCATTCAAAAATCCATTAATCACTATTCCAGCTTCTTCGGCCTAAGTGTAATAAAACAAATCGTTCCCAAGCCAGCCCTAAAGCAATTCCTGCGCGTCAAAGCAATGAATCACGGGGGCACGGGGCATGGGATCACCGTCGGACCGTTTGAATGAACGGACGAATATAGATTAGAATGCATTTGGTTTCGAGTGTACGATGCGCTGGCGCAGGTGATTCAGGAACTATTCTCCCACGCGAGAATTACTACGAAAATAAACACTGCCGGCTGGAGGCCCCTCACCTCGATTGTATCTTATGTCTTTATTAGTCTAAAGAGGTTATGCCGTCTGATTTAAGTGTGCGATATATTTCTGACTTGTTAACACGATAATCTCGAAAATCTAAATATGAGAAAGCTAACGCACTTTTTAAGGTTTCTTTAGCTGAAATAAATATTAAAATTTTACCTTATCTTATAATTTCATTCTATAAAGCGCTTTTATTACAAATTTTCCATTATTGAAAGTTTACTTTTATAGAATAAGCATGACACGAGTACACAGTCCACCAGATAGTAAATGGATGCTGGGGCACATAGACATCCTGTATCCTTCGATTAAGAATCAAAATTAAGATGCATTGCCACCCCTGAGGACTAAGATGGAATGCCTCATTTCCAATAAAAAGGGTCTCTGGAACTTTTCACTGACCATACGATACACAGCAGCATTAAGTTGCTATTTCACGCTGGTATTCTGTGAGAGCGTGGTTCTCTCCGGTCGAGTATACTCATTCGTGCTACAACCGTAATATAACTGCAGTGTGGTTCTAACACGTAAATCCACTTATATTTTTAATGTCAAGGGGCATTCGATTTTCAAATAATATGTTAACGTACATTTTTAATACGAACAATTGGTAGTTTACCCTCGACAAGTACGTGAGAGCAAATTATCTCTAGGTGTTCGTAATATTTATATGCAAAGAATTCAGTAACAATAAAAAAAGAGTTTTTATACCAGTAGTATTATTGAAAACGATAAGGCGGGGAATACATCCAAAATATCACTCCCTAACATCTGTCGCCCGCCTTGTTAAGTCATTACTTACCAGATCTGTTGAAAAGCGAGGAAATTTTTTTGGTTAAAATCGCGAATAGCAGCTGGATCGACAACCTGCGATCGGCGCTGTTAGTTTACGCAGTCATTAGTCTCCATATGTTAGGATTGACAAAATATCTAGTTATGGTTATTTTGTAATCTTTCGAAAGTCACGAGAATATTCTGTATTTGACTTTTGCAAATAAGATAACTAACCAGAGTATTAGAAAGAACGGAAACGGAAAGTAACGCCATGCAGAGCCTTGATCACTGTGTGGAGGAATCTCTCCCCTACGGCGCCTAGGAATATAGGAGTAGTTGTTGTATTGAGACATTTTTCACTGATCGTCGCTTTTTATAAATAAAGGTGACAAACCAAATGGAATAAGTAAAAGTCAAAATATAATAGAATGTCGCCCATGGAAATCTGCATCTATCCTCGATTAAGAATCAAAATGCATCTTCATTTTGATTCTTTGTCACCTATACCATTGCCGCCCCTGAAGACTAATATGAATGATGGATGGACCTATAAAAAAGCCTCCAGTTCATTTTACTCACCATACGAAATACCTGCGGTATCATGCTGTTATTTGTCGCTGGTATTCGCATTCTCCTTCTGGGGTCTGTGGTCCAACTGCAGCCATAATAAGCAACAGCTTTGCTTTAGATATTAGGTAGAGAGAGGGAGGAATAAAAAGAGAGAGAGAGAGAGAGAAAGAGAGGACAGTGATTTATATAAATTTTTATAAGTCTGAGCTTAAAACAGTATCATAATGAAGTCGGAAATGTTATTTACAGCAATATTAAATGTAATATAAATAAAAGTAACTAGCCGTATTAAAATAATATAAGACGACATATTAAATTATTATAAGTCACAAACTGCACGGGACATGCCATTACTTTTTTATGATTTGACGTTTTTAGAACTGTTGGGAGTTGCCAATTTTTTATATCTTCGATTCCATAACATACTGGCCATGCTTTTGGTTGAAATGCTCCGAGTTGGGAGTTTGAATTCTGCGCGGAACAGCTACTTGTGTGGTTTACAATTATGTCTTGACATAGGAGAATTTATATTGTGGTTTTTTGGGCATTTTTTTAAGAAACTGACTAAAGTTGTCTCCTATGCTAATGTGCTGATTATGAAGTACAGTAATAAGACGTAGTGCGTATAATCTTATGGCATCAGATTACATCTGTAATATTTAATAACATAAACTATTACAGACGTAAATTAGCTCAGAATAAACTTGCTAACATATCCAGACCGGAGACGACGTATGCGAAACTTATCTACTGCGGTCGCGTCGAATGCAAAGCGTCTGTCACTGCGATTGCTTCAAATGCGAAAAGTCTGTCACTGCGGTTGCGTCAAACGAGAAAAGTCTGTCACTGCAGTTGGTTTGAATGCGAAACGACTGTCACTGCAGTCACGTTAAACGCGAAACGTCTGTCACTGCGGTTGCTTCAAATGTGAAACATCTGTCACTGCAGTCGGGTTAAACGCGAAACCACTGTCACTGCAGCTGATTCAAATGCGAAACGTCTGTCGCGTTAAACGCGAAAAGTCTGCTGTAACTGCCCACTTGTTAAACACGCTTGCTACTACGTACTCAAGTGATGCCTAAGCTCATGATGATTGAACATGATACCATGTTTTAAATTCAATTGTGCTAGAGAAAGGGATAAGCCAGAATCGAAGTAGAAACAGAATACTCACAGCTCGAGAACGACGCACATGTACTTCCCCCACTCGTAGGCGTCGTATAGCTGAATGAGCCGCGGATGCCTCAGCCGTCGCATCACTTCCACTTCTCGCTCCACATTGCGCCTTTCGTCACGTCTGTTGACTGACACCAGCTTCGCCGCTAGCTCGAGACCTGTGCTCTTCTCCCGGCAGAGGTAAACTGTCCCGAATTTGCCACTGGAAATAAATAAAATCTTTAGAAAAACAGTAGGTAAAGTTTGTCATGTTGGTATCGCCACTAGCTGAACTTCCAATACCTAGATGTTATAAATCTTAGATTTGTTATCTCTATATACAAAAATCAATTGCCGGTTTTGATGAAATTTTTTGTGCGCGGTGGCGCTGTTGTCGAGATTCAGAAATTACACGCGCGAAGCCGCGTCGGATCGCTAGTTAAGTATAAATGCTGTGATTCGTAAGGTGAGTGAAGAGAACTAGAGATAAAAGGGTTTCCAGTTCTATTTACTCACTCACTGGTAATGAGGCATTCCATCTTACATAGTCCTCAGTGGTGAAAACGCAGTCTGTGTTTTGATTCTTAGCCAAGGATAGATTTATTAATTGGCCACAGCATCCACTTAACCAGGTGGACAGTATGCTCGTTTGTTACCCTTACCTCTATAACAAGAAAACGGACCAGAAAAGGTCCCGCCGCTGGTTTGAATTTTACAACGATAAAAATTAAGCATATTTTTAAAGGCATTAGTTAATGTGACATATAGTCGCGTGTCCTGAGTTTCAAGCCCCGTATGGAGTGAATAATTTGTATAAAATATAAGTTTCGAGTAGGGTGTTATTGTATATACTCCATATATTTGACTATGCATCCAAGTCTACCTTTATTTATCGCCCAATAGTTACTGTAATTAATTTTGTACCATTTTTAAAGGTTTTACAGAAAAGTAATTTAATAAAATAAAATGTTAGTATAAATAATAACCTTAAGATTAGCCGCATAAACTGAGATTTAGTTTTGAGCGTGGGCTAAAGTTCTATTTATTCATGGTAAAGAGAAGAAAAAGCAATTTTACTAACATTACTTCTTTTATCCAAACTCACGTGAAATCTCCCTAAATTAATCTTTCACGGTTTAGATTTAAACGAGTAGGTACAGCTTCCAATAAGAATATTTACTTTTTGAGTTAGTCTGGCGACGCTCGAATCATATCATAGATCTCAGTAACATCCTCTGATCTTAACTCTAGATACAAATTGTTAAAATCGTCAATGTTTCTTTGTTAAATCCATTTCCGTTTTTTTTATTTAACACTTTCTTTTCTTTCTCTTGAAAATCTATCTATAAAATCTATATCTTCCCTGGTTGATTCTAACAAAATAATCTAATACGAGATTTTCATATTAAAGAATATAGATTGAATAATACAGATTGAAGAGAACCATATTTGAATTGCGGAATTTCAACTAATATATACCAATAAATAAAATTGAAGTGTCTGTTTGTAATGTCAAAGTACCGGCTTTTATTAAATGTACTATATGAGTATGAAAGTATATACGGTACTTATAACAAAAACACAATTTTTAAAATTTTTGTCTATCTGTCTGTCTGTTTGTTTCGGCTAATCTCCGAAATACGTGGACCGATTTTGACGGGACTTTCACTGGCAGATAGCTAATGTTATAAGGAGTAACTGAGGCTACTTTTATTTTAGAAAAATAATTAGGGTTCCGCGCAAAATAATTAAAACCGTAAATTATACGCGGGCGAAGTCGCAGAGAACAGCTAGTGATTAAATAATTTTTAATTAAAAACAATTGTATTCGAGGGGCTAAAAGAAAGGAACGGGTGATGATGAAAGGTAATGGTGGAAGTGAACAGGATAATACCGGAATTGTGATGGAAAATGTTATGGTAGGATATTCCTGGCTAGAAATAAATGGAAGGAGTCTGTAAGCTGGAATCCATTCTCTGTATTGGACAAAATCCTGGTGACAAAAGAAAAATAATAATGTTGAAATTCTTGAATGACTTGTCACTTTTGCATAACTTAGACTGAGTGTCGTTCACGACAATAATAAGTCCACGTTGCTTGTAACATTACAAAAAATACGTGACTGGAGTTTTGTGACTCACCGTCCGATTTCCGATAGCATCTCGAAGAACTCGTTGACGTCCGTATTTCGTTTGATAGTCACATCTCGGTAGGAAAAGGGCGGCTCTATCTCTGTAACAACCAATAATAATATCTATAATTAAATGCTGAAGTCTATGTTACCTGAATATATTATTATATGTATCTTTATTGAGTCTACTGCTGGGTGTAGTCTTTAAGAGCTACAATTAAATTGTGTAGATATAATATCTAAATCGAAATTCCCAGCAACATCAACGTTTCTCCTGGTTAACTTTTCTTGGTTAAAGCTTTCAAATTATGAGCGGATTACATAAATAAGTACCATAACTATTCGAGTCGAATTTGTTACTTTAGTCGTCGTATTTAAACGTGGAAGCAATACGTGTTAGAGCCACGCTGCAGCTGTATTATGGTTGCAGAACGAATGCGTCAATTCGACTGGGAAAAGACCATATTCTCACAGAATAACTACTAGCGTGAGATAGCAGTATAATGTTTCCATTTCCGTTTCATGAGAAGAAATTGGGTGAAATGTTCTCAACGCAGTTACTTTCTATTGGACTCAATAAAGGAGGCTTAAATAAGGGAGGTTCACAATTATTTAAAGATTAATAATGAAAGATTTTGTTATGTCTTTTTTTCTTTTGCAAAAGATTATTTTCGAAGTCGGTTTATACATCTTTTAACTAATTGTAAATTTGCATTTTTAAAGTCTTGTAGTAATATCGTTTGAATTGTACGAAAAATAATAAAATAATACTATATGTACTCGTATGGAAATCATTCTCGATTAAAAAAATTAAATTTAAAAAAAAAATTAGATTTAAAAAATAAAATTGTCAGAAAAATTATACACGTTAAAATTTTTTATAATTTTATTTTAATGTATTATGTATACCATGCTTTGTTTAAGTTTTCTGTTCTAGTAGGCATTGCCTCATTTATATCGCATAATTTAAAATAATGCACTTTTTCATAGCTTGTAATTTAGTTCAATTGAATTTTTATCTAATCTATAAGATGGTATTTGTAATTGCTCAATGTATCAAAGTCAAGTACAGATAACACGGTGTCATTTATCAGCATCACACGGTATTTTACAATTATTGATGTGGTTATTATCAAAATATTTTCTATACGTATATGTAATGAGGTAATGACTCGCAGACGGTACGCAGTAGCTAGCGCAAGCACAAATCATACGAACATACGCCTAGAAATTAAACGTTGATCATTTGTATCTTTTTCTTTGAAGTCGGTAAAATATTGTCACATCATTAAGTAAGTAAAATATACTGATGGTTCCGCATTGGCGGTAATACTTGCGTTTTACCGTTCGCGTACAGTGTAAACACCGCATCAGTCCGACCGTGGGTGATTTGATGTGAATTTTAATTTTAATAGCATTGCTAGTTTTTTATAGTATCGAAGGTTACCTACAGAACAACACTAAAGAGTTTGATCTAATGCCAAATTATATCTACACATTAATAATCTGAATCAAAAATCCAATTAGATTCTTCATAATATATAAAATTAGATATAACAGATTTGACACTTTCTAAAACTTGTTTTTGTAGGTAATTTTTTGCAATTGGAAAGTAATAAGTAAGACGTCGCGTCGCTTGTATGACGCGTGTACGTGTGGGTTTTTTTTTATAAAATAAGTGGCCTATATACATCTACATCTATCCTCGATTAAAATCAAAATGTAGATGCGTTGTCATTCACGTGGAGTAAGATGGAATGCCGCTTTTGCAGTAAATGGGTCTCCGGTTCTTTACATTTACATTCATATGGTAAATGTAAAGAACCGAAACACAGCAGCATTAACCTGTTATTTTAAGCAGGTATTCTATGAGATCGTGGGCCGATTTTTGGGATGATTTGGAACAAGAAAGATTCAAGATCAAAGTACGCCGCGCTACCGTGCGTGTTGGTGGACTCTTCTGAAGTCTTTATATTATTTCTAACACTTCAGACATGTGGGTTTCGTTACGACGATTTTTCATCGCTGAGCACATTGTAAATGACACTGCGAATTGCAGTGAGGGCTAAATAATTTTCTGCTCACCAGAAAACAATGCGTTAGTGGTTTGCTCTTTAATTATTTTCACATTTTAAGCTTTTTTTTTTTAATTTTCTACTTTCATGAATATCTGTGGTTTGGTTTATTTATTTTTAATCTTATTAATACAAAATATATATAAATAGTACAGAAAGAAACACTAACCTTTACATTATTCGAACAAATTAACTTCCCCGCTACGAAATCTGTCAAATATTATACCTCACTTTTAAGTGGCGCCGCCCCGGTGGCAGAAAAAGTCGTGGATGCCAAAAAAAGGTCATTGACAATTTGGGGATCGACTTCTGTTGCTTCTGTTTGCTCGTGTATTATCAAAATTATTAAACGAGCGCTTATGCTCTCGTGGTGGCCCTGCGTTACGAATAAATAAAAGCAAGAAAATCGATAAAAAAATTAAGTTTCCATAGTATGTATATCAAAATATGCAAGAATATCTTGTGAGTATAAGTGAAGGAGTAAACTCCATACGTCAACGATTTCGTTCTCGTTTATTTCTTTTTCAAAGAAGGACATATCATGATATACTGTACGATATGCATGTGTAAATTGAAATCGGGTGTATATTACGGGCCACTAAACCGTTAAAGTAAAACTGTATATTATGTGAGATTTCATCATCGGACAACGCAACGTGACAAATGATCGAGCGTTCAGACTGTCATCGTTCGAGAAAAGGGTTACCAGTTTTATGTTATATAAATGGACAGTCTGTTATTCTAAGTCATAAATGATTACTAGGCTAATGGCCGAGTGACTAATGCATGTAAACAATTAATATAGTTGTTGCTAAATTAAAATTTAGCGTGTAACTGAACAAGTAGAATAATTTTTTTGGGTAAGTGGGCGTGTCACTTCATAATTTTGACATGACACGACTATGTTACATTTTAACGTAGCGTCGCAGTTGAGTTTCATTCATTACAGTACAGTATCTCTATTTGTAATGTCTGCTATCTTCTCTAATCACTGTAGTGTAACACAGGCTCGGCACGCACTTAACTAAACACGTCCACTCTCGCCCGAGGCTCTCGTGTAACTGACGTGGTGCGCTCGAGACAGTGACTTATATATAAATGTATGTTTGTGTATTTGTGCATGGTAAATTATTAGTAAATAAAACAAATAACAATATTTACTGTATACTAGATATATGCAAACACTACACTATTCATTAGACAACAAGTAATTAAAGGATTCTTTGCACATGCGTTTTACAGAAAAAAACACTTTTATATTTTCTCCAGGTAATTTTGTAAATTAAATTTATAGTATAAGGGTGAGCAACGTCCATCTGATGGTAAGTCAATGCTGAGGCTCGTAGACATCTGCATCTATCTATACAAATAAATAAAATTGAAGCTTTTTGCGCAAAACCCTAATTATTTAACCTAATTATTTTTCTAAATTAAAAGTATCCTAAGTTACTCCTTATAACAGCAGCTATCTGCCAGTGAAAGTGCCGTCAAAATCGGTCCAGCCGTTTCTGAGGTTAGTCGGAACAAACAGACAGACAGACAGACAGACAGACAAATATATTAAAAATTGTTTTTTTGTTATCAGTACCGTATATACTTTTATATGCATTTAGTAAAAAGATGTTATTTTAACATTACAAACAGACACTTCAATTTTATTTATTTGTATAGATTAACTTCAAATTTAGTTTATTGACTACTTAATACGTGTAATTAGCCATAAAAGACGACACCGTGGCTTAGTTAGTAGTCAGAAAATTGTTTTCTTGATCACAGCATCGAGATCAAATTCCAATAAAGTTATAGTTACAGCCTATATACGTCCCACTGCTGGGCACAGGCCTCTCATTTTTAGGGCAAGGAAATGTCCGCCGCGCTGCCCCAATGCATATTGGCAAACTTCAAATGTCTTCGGCATACTTTTTCTCATTTCTCAAACATGCAGGTTTCCTCACGATATTTTCCTTCACCGCCGAGCACGTGGTAAATCAACACTTAAAATTGCAATTGACAATTTCATTGGTGCCGGCGGGGATCGAACTCGCGTACTATGAAACATACAGCGAGCGCTAACCATCTGAGATACCACGGCTCTCCAATTGTAATAAATAATTTGTTTATAAGAAAATTATTGGTTTCTGGATGATCTCATTTTATTAGGATAACACTACATACGGATAGAGTTTCAGTACATTTGCGCTACAATAACAGAAGGTCGTATGTAGATAACAACTTTCTAAAGATCCGGAAGACTTTAGAGCGTTTTCATATCTCAAAAACATATGTTAAGCTTTCTAAATCTACAACAAATTACCAAACAGCGTCAAAGAAGCAAAAAAACCTCCAAGTCTTTAAGCATATTCTCCATAATTATTTCTTAATTAACGATATCTCTCTATAGAATTACATACCTTTGTCCCATGGAATAAGGCTTACTTATAAATTACAAATACAAAAATATTTATATATATTATTAAAAACTTATAAACAAAATAAATACAGTAAAACCTATATATCTAGTTGTTTGATTTCTTTGTGCGTATCATTATAACATGTCACAATGACTGCGCTTATGAACAACCTTTAATCCTTCTCAATAACTTTTATGTTTATAAAGTGTTACCTTCTCATTTGGTTTTAAATGTTTAACGTAATAATGTGATATAAATGTGTCTGCTTAGTTAAGTTTCTCATGTAAGTGAATGAATTGTATTCTTTTTGAGAAATATCTTATACCACAAGTTTACAAAAAAAAAATCTTGTTTGTTAGTAACAGGGGACTACTAGAATAATAATGATGATGATGCTGACGCTTGCTGCTTTGTATCTTGCTTCTAAAAAAATACGATAATTGATTTTCGTTTAAAATTACTGCGTATCTACTAGCTTGATTAATATAACAATACTATCTTCTATTATCCTTGTCTGAACCCTATGCATAGGGTTACATTTTGAAATCACTACATTTTACAGAAAAGTGGATGCAGCTCTAAGCTCTCTACGCAAGCCATGTAATTTCCTTTCAA